GTCAAGTCAAGTCAAGTCAAGTCAAGTCAAGTCAAGTCAAGTCAAGTCAAGTCAAGTCAAGTCAAGTCAAGTCAAGTCAAGTCAAGTCAAGTAAAGTCAAGTCAAGTCAAGTCAAGTCAAATCAAGCAAAAAAATAAATCAAAAGTTGAGTTCTCACAAAAAAAAAGTATTACCTTTTTGTCGAATGATTGGTTTGCTTCGACCATCATCAAGCGAGATAACAAATCCCATAGATCCATGTGGAAAATAGGAATACTCAAAACTTTCTAGATCCAGCAAGAACTTGATTCCATTGATCTCACCGCCTCTACTCAAAAACTTGAATGAATATATGAAGGTGTTAATATACGATTTAAGGGACTGGAAAGTATTTTCAAGTAAATCGTTATTTGTAAAATGGCAAGTCCAATTAACCACGGTATCCTTTAAACCTTTGATTGCAGGTTACTTGAAGCTACGTTTACAGGCTCTGTATTAAAGAAATTAAACTTAGTTATCAAACTGAGAACATGAGCAGAGGGAAAATATCGAATCCATGTTTTAAATTGAATCAATTGGTATTCTAATTTTCATGCTCAACTTGTTATATATTCAGCGGTGAAATAGATTATTAGATTAGATTAGATTAGAAATTATAAAGGTTATAATTCAAAAAGAACTTTTTTATTTAATTTGGAATATTTGCAATATTGATCACAAATTCAATGTTTGTTGGAGTATTATCAAAATTTACTAGATAAATTTTTTTACTCCAATGAGACCGGTAAAACTGTGGAATATTGAGATGATTGTTATGCTCAACGAATGTGTTTAAATAGTTTAATGAACATGTCAGACTAATTTCATTTGATAAGTTGATTTTAAACTATATTTCTTTCAATCAACATCAAATATATCACATTTGATTGCTAAAATGTCGTCTTCCAATTCCATAGGCTCATGTCCCCCACTGGATTTTATTACCTTGCTCCTCTTTTCAGATTTAGAAATTCTGCTGCTGTATAGTTAAGAGGACTCTTCGCTGCAGTCACTGGATTCTCAAAATCCAATTGAGGAATAATCCTTAATTTTTTTATTATTTCTTATTATCAACAAAAGATAAAATATTTCTTTAACATCGGAGACTGCAAGGATTTCAACGTCGAGAAAACTGCGGAGTTGTGAATGATGAGACTTTAAAGGGGCTGTATAAGCTTAAAATCACCCTTCATGCAAAGATGACAATGCCCGATGTATAAGGGTATTATTAAAAGCTTTATCAGATCAAGTAAGAATTAGATATCAATGGTTTTCTTTCTTTAAACTGTTTATAAACTGATGTATAAGGGTATTATTAAAAGCTTTATCAGATCAAGTAAGAATTAGATATCAATGGTTTTCTTTCTTTAAACTGTTTATTTTTATTGGTGGGTTTTCAGCCAAAAGTGGCATGGGCATTTCTTGCTTATAAGAAGCAATAGAGAATAAACACTTTTCGCGTCAGAAAAACGACGTTCTCTTTTTATCAGATTAAGGTTCCAGGGTATCGTTGTAAATCGGGCATTGTCATTTTTTGCAGGAAGGGTCACTTGAAATTTCGCTTACACTCCCACTAAACCAAAAAAATATAAAAATTTCGATATTACAGGGAATATTAGTTCCAAAACTAACACTTGGCCCATTTCTAACACTCAGTGTTAGAGATGGGCCAAATCTGCAAAGCTATATTTTTCAAGAGTATAATTCTTTAAATCCAAGACGAGTAGAACAAAATTACACCATATATTTATAAAAAATGACTAAAACTATATATTGAAACAATATATGTCAAATTTAAACTAATAATAAGTTGTGAGAATTAGTTTTTGATAATTCCTGATTTCATTTTCGAACATATCCCTATTTTGAACAATTACCGCATTTCAGCTCATGTCGCGTTTTCGGAACATATCCTGGTTTTGAGACAATTACTAGAATTCATATCAATGTTGGTTTTCAAGTATTTACGCACTTACGTAACAAAACAAGATTTTTTGATGAGGTAAAATACTAACAAAATAGAAAATAAAAACAAACTGTTCTTTTATAATTTAAAATTTAAAATATTAACATCATTTGTTTTTAAAATATAGCTTGAAATGCGGGAAACCATGTTTGTTTAAATGCTTGAAAATAAACCATAGATATTTTCTAATTTAACAGATAAAATAAAACATATTTTCCTGCAGCACATTCCATAATCAGTCGCAGTCCTAAAAATAATTTATCTTTTGGGAATTTTAGAATGAAATATATATTTCTTTAAATGAGACCAATAAAACTGTGTCACAAGAAGACGACATTTAGACTCAATTTATAATTTTAAATAGTTTAATTTGAACATAAAACAACCAATGTCTCTTAATATAGGAATTAAAAGCTTCCGTGTAAACCATTTGCTTTGTAACTACATCAAATACACATAATGTTTGCTTTAAAATCCTCTTCCACTGCTTTTTGTTTATTATCGAAAGAAAGTTTGATTACAGTATTGTGTCGTATCTGTATGTTGTGAGCATAGTTCCGTTCTCAAGTCTCCATTTTATCATCATCATCATGTCAGAACAATTCTAAAATTAAAACTGGGAATTTTATGCTTCGGCAAATTAAATATTTATGTACTTAGGCTTTGCTTAACTAGCTTAGTAACAATTTTAGCTTTTAAATGGTGATATGCTACCATTTTTGTTGTAACTACAGTACATAGTAAAACAAGAAAAACATATTTCGTAGATTTCCTCCTCTATTGCATGGTGAATTTAAAAAAATGAAGTGATATTTTGAAGCTTATTGGAAAATACAATTCAAATATCCAAATAGATTATGAATTTTGATCCAGAAAAAATGTTCAAAAAATAGTCCTGCCCTTTCGAGTTTGATGTGTTGGTCTTGTAGGGGATTGGATGGCAGGGAGGCTAGGCAAGTTTGTGTTAATGTATTACACTGTTAAAGGTTTGGGATTGTCATGGCTGGTTTGGGAATGTCAGGAATAAATTGGATTTTTAGAGTTAGTTTGGGATTTTTTGAGTTGGTTTGGGATTGTAAGGAATCATTTGGAATTGTGAGGGATGGATTGGGATTGTTAGAGTTGGTTTGGGATTGTCAGGAATTATTTGAGATTGTGAGGAATGGTTTAGGATTGTCATAGTTGGCTTTGGATTGGATTGTCAGTGTTGGTTCGGGATTGTTAAAGTTGCTTTGGGATTTTCAGGGATAAATCGGGGTTATCAAGGTTGGTTTGCGATCGTCAGGGATGGTTTGAGATCGTTAGGCTTTGGACTGTCAGGGATCATTTGAGATTGTCAGGGTTGGTTTTGGATGGTCAGGGATGGTTTGAGATTGTCATAACTGGCTGTGGATTTTAAGGTTTTGGATGATGCTACCTGGGACGCTATTGGAGCTAGAGGTGTGTTTCTATTCCAATTATAGGTTTTCTCAAGTTTAGACAGCATTGCCAGGAACTAAATGATTAAAGGGACTGTAAACGTAATTTTAAGTAAGCCTCCCTTTTAAAGTGGCATGTCGGATTCTCAACTGTACCCCTAAAAGCTAATTGAATAATCAAGAATGAATGAATTATCCATTTCTGCATGCAGAAACAATGAAGGAAATTCTTTTCAGACTAGACAAAACACAATATCTTCCCAATTTATTATCAGATAAAGGTTTTATTTAAGACACCATCCATAGATGAAAATTTTAAAAGTCCCCATAAAACTGTGGAAAAGGAAGGCGACATTAAACTCTTAAAACTATTAAAATATTTGCAAATTTGTAAAATTTTAAACATTTGTGCAATTTAAAGGTATTGAGCAAAAAGTGTGCAAAATCAAAAGTGCGTGAAATATGATAAATTATACATTTTTAAAAAGCCCTTACCACGGCAAATTAAAATATGTAAATATGAAATTTTCAAAAATCGAATTTTTATTCAAAGAAAACTGAAAATGTGTAAATTCACTTTAAAGGCATCTGTGAAAAAAACATGCAAAATTTATTCGCAAAAATTGTGCAATCTGCTTCCTTTTCTTCAAAGCTTTCTATAGACCCATAAAAAGTCAAAATCCAAAATCTAAATGAGGCTCATGTTTATTACTAACTAAAATCACTTTTTTTTGCTTTTATAAATTAATACCTTTTCTTTGCTTGTATCATTATTAGCTGGAGCTCCCTCCATATAGTAATTTATCAATCTTGTCCTAAACAAAGACGTCAACATTTAGTTGCACATTTTTTCTTTAATTTTTAATATTATTTTAATTACCATTTAAGATTTATATAGTTGGATAATAATGCAGAGTAATTAATTGATATACAGATAAATTCAAATATAAAGAGACATCGGAAGAATTTATAAAATGTCGTATTCTTCACTTTTTGATATTGGAATGTTGCAGATATTTAGTTTTTTAATTAAATGATTATATGGAGCTCTCTAAAACTGTTCCCGCATATTCATGGCTATTTATTTATTTTTGCAAATACTGAGATTTACGTATGATAATGTAAAAACCCCATTGAAAAATTGGCAAGACAAAAATTCTTTCGATGTCTTAAAATCTCTGGGGTAAACTGTAGTTACTTGGGCTTTTCATTTGCCACATCATGCGATGATTACATACGCCATAAATCAGTATTGTCTTGTCTATAGACTGACAAAGATGTGTGATCTGTGGGCTCTCATGTACATAGCATGGCAGATGCTGTGCTCAGGTGAAAATTAAGTATTCCGGTCAGCACTATGCAGAGTAGGACTGTTCCTAAACCATCCTTGTATCAGTGCGGTGGAGTTGATGCTTGAATAGGAATGACAATTGTTATGAGTTATGCTTGCTATGAGTTACACAGTTGTTTTACCTTACACCTGCAAAACGTTAAAAAAAAAGATAAGTTACACTTGCTAAAAATTACACTTGCTATTAATTACTCCTCTTAATGTCTATAAGTTACAATGCTATATGTTACATTTAAAACCGTTTTGTCAAAAATACCTGTAATCATCTTCACTCTGCAGAAAACCACTTGCATCAAGAATAGATCTCTGCATCTGGGAAAATAAACTTCATGAAAGCCACTGTTGACGTAATTTATTACAGATAAATTTTCTATTTCGGGTTCCATATAAAAGTGACGTAAGTGATGTAAAAAGAATTTTAATTGAAATTCAGCACTTATTGATTATTTTTCGACGCATATTCGTATAAAGTTAATATTTCATAGTATTTTTGATTTTGTTTTTTAAAATAATATTTTTTGGCGCTGGATTTGCAAACATTCCTGGAAAATATGAAAATGTCGTCTTAATTATCAAAAATCTTCGAAAGACGAATAAATTTTTTAAAAGTAACTATCAGATCATAAAAAATAAAAAAATATTATAAAATATCAACTACGTACGAATGCGTCGAAAAATTGATTGTAATATCTGAATGATTTAATTGGAATTAAATCGATTTTTTACGATCCGAGTTGAATATTGCAACTTTTTGAATTTGTATGGACGCTACGTTCTTCAGTATGAGTCGTTTTATTAATTTTCTCTTTAGAGACGCAACAGATAGAAGTTAGATTCGTAGCGATCAAAAGCGCTTATTTTTCGCCGTAAGCCTATATCCCCTTTCATTTTTTGCGAACACTCCCTTTAGGAAAGGATTCCTATTTCAGAATTGAGTAATACTTGCAATAATAGACTAATTGAAATAGTGACGTCACAGCAATTGAAGTTTTTTATTAAAATGGTAATGCAAATTGTTATCAGAACGAACGGTTCGGTATATATGCAGGCTTTCAGTACACTTCAGAGATTACCAATTAAATGTGTTGTGATCGTTGTCTTTGTTCTTTCTTTTATTTATTATTAGCGCTAATATGGGTTTTGTAACTTATAGTTTACTTATATATATTTTTAAAAAATTGATAAAATACGTTCCATCAAAATTAAGTTAAAACCTTTTTTTGAATTGTGGGATGGGCTCGATATAATCGATCTTTATGTAGTTTCATGTAATTTCAAGTGACATTCCATTTATATATTGACATGTCTACTCAATCATTAATAAGATATTTTAGTATTGTTGCTTCTTTTTCAAGAAGACTTGCGCATAATCATGCTTAAAGGGACTGTTAAGGAAAAATGAAAGAGGGTATAGGCTGAAACCTGAGAATCTCAGGAGTTGAACGATACCTATAAGACATTCATCTTTTGTTCCTGTCTCGAGAAATTGACATAAAACTGTGTCAAAATTATATCAAAACGTACAAATGTAAGATATACGTCCGCATCATGTGACCAAAACTTCCTCCAATGGCAGTGCAGTATACTGGTCACGTGATACAGTATAGCTTAAGCTATTTTTATTCAGATAAAGGTTCAAAAAGCAACATTCGTTATTCCTTTTTTTAAATAGAGGTTCACTTGAAATTACGTGAACAGTCCATTTAAGAGACACTAACCTGGTTAATATTACAAATAGCAACAGAAGGGAACAAAACATCGTTTAGTGACGCAGCAGTGTCGTTTATCATCGTCAGGGGAGGTCCCGTAGCATACTCTACAATATGTGATGTTTGATTTTGAGTCGTTTATCATCGTCAGAGGAGGTCCAGTAGCATACTCTACAATATGTGATATTTGTTTTTGAGTCGTTTATCATCGTCAGAGGAGGTCCAGTAGCATACTCTACAATATGTGATATTTGTTTTTGTGTCGTTTATCATCGTCAGAGGAGGTCCAGTAGCATACTCTACAATATGTGATATTTGTTTTTGTTTCGTTTATCATCGTCAGGGGAGGTCCCGTAACATACTCTACAATATGTAATGTTTGATTTTGAGTCGTTTATCATCGTCAGGGGAGGTCCAGTATAAGCATACTCTACAATATGTAATGTTTGTTTTTGTATCGTTTTTTCTGTCAGGGTCAAATTTGGCATAGTAAAAGAAAGCAAACGTTTTCTAACGTTTTTTTCTAAACACTATGCCAAGTTTTGAGTTTTGACTCTTAAAGAATAAATGACTTAACATAGAAATTTCTCAGAAAAGTCTTAAGATATGACGATCCCGATACTAAAGTTTACAGTTCAGAATCTGAAACAGTAAAGTTTACACTTGCAGAGAATCCTATTAATATAAGGAAACAGACACAATAACACCCTGTCGTATCTGAAGTCTCATTCCTAGTGGATAACCCTGTACAGAAGGAATCATTTAACGGTTATTTCTGAGAGTAAGGATAATGGTATAAGGCCCTATAGGTCAAATTTTGGTCCGAAACCTAGGTTGATAAAAAAAATGTTGTATGTTTCGTGGTTTATTAATATATGTATTGATAGTGTATATCTGGACCAATGATAGATAGATGGAACTGATCACATGACCTAATGGTTGGATTTGAGAGTTAGGGGTTATCACGACCCCGATTGACCCCATTAAAGAAATCTTATGTTTATTTGATGTTGTTGTAAAGTAAACAGTGTTGCTATTAGTTATAGCTTGAAATTCAACTTAAATAAAATGGTTCTGAGTACATAAGACAATTATTTCATGTTCATTGGACTATTTAAAATCATAACTTGAGTTCTAACAGTCGTCTTCCTATTCCAGAGTTGTATGGGACCCACTGAATCATAATTTTGCTTCGTACAGTTTTATTTTTATTTAAAAGGCTAAACAAGAATCTGCATAAAATGATTTATACAATTTTTCTAACATATTGTTATGAAAAAAAGCCTCGACACCATCATCGTTTTAGTATTTTATCATTAAACCTTCAACATAAAATTATGATTGACTTTAAAAATCAATTTATAACTTGATTAAAACTGTTAAAAAGGAACTGAGTTTAGCCAAAAACTGCAATTTTCTAACCCCTATATCTTTACAACCTGGTGATGTAAACATTTGATATTTTTTAAACATAGATTATGTAATCTAATAGAATTCATAGCTTGAAATATCTAAGATCTACGACATTGGGTTACAAAAAAATAGGGATTAGAAAATCAGAGTTTGTGGCAACAACTCAGTTCCTTTTTCTATTTTTTAAACTTTATTACACTTTTCAACATGGGAAATTAATAATGAAAAGTGACAAAATATTGAAAAATACATAATTAATTTGACATGTTTACAATTTTAGCTAACAAAAATAACTTACCCGTATAATTTATGTATATTAAGAAACCAGCTAACAAAACAAGCTGAATAAGAAATGAATTTATTCGAAATACATTTAACAATTAAACTACAGTAGAAAGCAGAATGTTTAAAATTATATTCAGCTTGGTTCCTAGAATAAAGATTGCAACAATTATCAAACTCCAAAGAAGCTTCCAAAAGATTCCTGAGAAAAAATAATTTGAAAATTTTACTTTTTTCTGGATGAAACCCATGCAGTGTTGTACTGTCACAATAGCTTATACACTGGCCCTGAACTATATCAACCAAAATCATTTTTAATTAACTTTAAATTAATTTTACCTATTTTTAAGCTAAAGAGTAATTTCAAGTAACCCGCCATGCAAAGATGATAATGCCCGATTCACAATGGTACCCTTTAAAGCTTTGTCTGATCAAGTATAAATTAGATATAAATGGTTACAAAAACTAGTTAGTTTCAATAGTGGATTCTTTATATAAGTGACTTCCGCATTTCCATAATTCACCTAATTTAGCTTTTCATCTTTGTAGGTGACTTGAATTTACGTTTTGGCTTACATTCCCGTTACTTGGATAAAAATAAGCCGATATTTTAGTTTCAGCTTATTCCAAAGCTCGAGTCAGTATCAATGACAGTTTAGTCGGGAGTTTTATTTTCGCAATTTTTTTAAACTGCGGGCTCTCTTAATTTAGTTGAAACTCATTTTAAAGTTTTAAGTTCAAAATAAAAATAAAATTTTTTTGAGTTATTATGTGAGGCGACCACTTTCTAATAAGAATAGATCAAACAAAGACGACTTTTATTCCACTTTATGTTGGTTATCACTTTATGACATGTTCTAAGAACTCTGAAGTTGGAAACTTTTGAACATAAAAGATTAAATTAGATTAACTCAATCATTTCTTTCTTGTTTGACTTTTACTCACGATTTCTCGTCAATTCGAAAGTTTCACAATATAAGTCTTATTTATAACATTTTTTAAATTAATTTCAAAAAAATTGGTTTCCATAGCGTAGAAGTCCAGAGGATATTTTGGGTTTCTCCTTCTCACTCTCAGAGTACATTTTATCTTCAAAAAATGACAAATCTGTGAAATTATTATTTCACTTTTTGGAAAAGCAACCCGTAGTTAATTGTTTTGCAAAACATAAGGAAAATAATATTGGGACAAAATATCTTGTATTGAAATGTATATTTAAATTTTGGACCCAAATGTGTAAATCATAGACAGCAAACGTTCCGATGACGTGCAGTCCTCTGGAAGGCATTGCAACTTGCAAGTCGTAGTTTCAATTGACCCTCCATTTACTGAGTCCGATTCTGGTCAAGAAATAATGAGATATCCATACTATGGTCTCTCTGTAAAAGTGACTTGCGCATTTCTTGTGGAGAAACATTGGCGGATATTGTGAAAATTTGAATTTGAAGACGATGATAACTTTTGCACTATTAGTTAGATATAGGTTTGGAAATCGGGGTTATTGAAATCACAACACTTATCCTACTGGGTTACCCCACAAAGGGTGAAATTTTAAAGACGACTGTACGGAATTTAGTCCGTCTTTTTCTCAAATTTCTATTGCACAAATTTTTCAAATGTTTTACATTTAATATAACTTTAAGTTCAATCGAGGTTCTCACTATCATCTCTCATATTTAAAGGTGTTTAAAGTTTCATCCGTTGTGGGTAACCCTGCATCTGGTAAATAGTTAGTTGTGGGTAACCCTGCATCAGGTAAATACTTAGTTGTGGGTAACCCTGCATCTGGTAAATAGTTAGTTGTGGGTAACCCTGCATCTGGTAAATGGTTAGTTGTGGGTAACCCTGCATCTGGTAAATAGTTAGTTGTGGGTAACCCTGCATCTGGTAAATAGTTAGTTGTGGGTAACCCTGCATCTGGTAAATAGTAAGTTATGGGTAACCCTGCATCTGGTAAATGTTAGTTGTGGGAAGAAGGGGGGAGGATGTGTATTGCCCCCCCCCTTACCTTTTCATTAAATCCTGTAAGCCTATCTTGGCGAAAAATAATAAAGTAGTAATCTCTGTTTATCATGAACCCCATTGAACGATTTGCCTAAAATTTTGATTTGGGAACCACGGGAATACGCTTGGCCTGGATTAACTTTTATTTTTAAAAGCTGGGGTTTCTAGAAAAATGTCGTTGGTCCAGAATCCAGATTTTCTCATGTTTGAATTAGGAAATTACAGAATTCAAATTCATACATGGAATCCCTATACAAAACTATTCTTAGCATGTGGGGGGGGGAGCTTAACTTTTTTACCCCCCTTTCCCCCCAACTAAGTTATTTTTATTATGCTTTTTTCATGCTCTTCTTTATCTTTTCCGATCTTTTTATTAGTTTTGCCAAAATATTCAGGTTGAAGTTTTTTGATTTTCAAAATTTTCTTTCAAAAACAAATATTTTTCAACCCTTCACTGATTTGTATTTGTTGCTAAGTGTTATCACAATCAAAATGTGCCCAAATTAAGACTTTGCAAAACACAAAATTTTAAGCTACATTTCTAATATACAGATTTAACTTAACTTAACGAAAAATGATATTTTATTTGGAGTACGAAATAGGTTGATCTTAAACCATATGATATAATGGGTTTTGTGCGTAATTAGTGGCAAAGTTTCTATTTGGAATATTAGAATTTTTCTTTACGAGACGGGATTCCATTTTTCTGAAAGTAACCCTGTAATTCCCCAAATTCCCCCCTCCCCCTGAGTGCGGTGGTTTTGTTCGACCTATGAGAAATTTAGTCCACAGAAAAAGTTTTTCCCTGTTTAATAAACCTTCTATTTAAACAGCGAACAGATCATACTAAATTCAGTGTCTTCTTTGCCTACGACTAATTCTAGAAATTAAGGTAAAACAACAAATATCATAACGGTCTTGCATAAAATCCGCGAAACCATTTTTACTAGCATCAAACTATGGTATTGGTTCTTTTACAACAGAAAATATATATTTCCTTCCGAAATATGATAATTGTAAGCGATAAAAACTTCTCGCAAAATATTACTGCTAAGCTTTAAATCAAAAAAAACCTCTTACACCTCTTATTCTTAAATGTGAAAAATGCCATTATTTAAAACAAAATGCTATAAAGGAGGGATCAATATGTGTAACTTTAAAATGGTTGATTACTGGTTGACGACCTTCTCTATAAATATATAAATATTTTTAAGAAACTATTGTGTACTTTCATTCTCACTCACTTCATCGTGAATTTTATTATGAACGTGCTCTAAATTAATTATCGTACTATAAAGTTAAATTAACTGTACATTATAGCACGTGTGCTATACAGTTTTGATTGGTTACCGGTTGTTTTCCAAAAATTTAGGATATTTCCAAAACATTTCTTTGAATTTAAATGAAAATAAAATTTATAATTACTTTTTTAATTTCTACTTTCTTAAAATGACTATTTTATCTAGAAATAGCCATTGCATTGCAATACAAAAAGTACAAAAACGTTTCATAGAATTACCTATAACACTATTATTTTGGCACAACGTGCTATAAAGTTTTTGGACTAAAATTTCAAACACTGCGAACCAAAATAATAGTGTTATAAATAATCAAAATCATATTTATTTAGATAAAAGAGAAATAATGGGAACTGTTGCCTGCCTTCTAATCAGCCTTCTACCCCTTCTTGTCCAATCAACCTTCCTCTATCAACCTTCCACAAAATATTATTATGATTATCATCCTCAAAAACCGGTTTACCAACCAAGATATGTACCAGAACCAACTTGCAGTACAGTATCAGGACCTGACCCGCACCAGCCCTGAGCCCAAAACTTAAGACAGGGTATCGTTATGAAAACCAGTTTTGAAACCCGGGTTTCAAGAATGGGGTTAGGCAGTTTTGTGGATATCAATATTTTTGTTGTGAAATATTATTTTATTAAGTTTCTTCATATTCTTCATTTTTTAAAATTTCTTAAATCAAAATCTACACAATTGCCAAGACCCCAAAAAGGAAACTCGGGAGTTTCGTTCAACGATACTCTTTTAAATTTCGGGCTCTGTGTATTCCCCTTCAAGCATAATGGCGTACAGTACAACACCTGCGGGGAATGGGTGTGGGGTGGAGGAAACAACGGTAAACAATGGTGCAGTACACAAACAGACAGCTATGGAAACCATATTGAAGGTCATGGTTATTATGGATTCTGTTCAACCTCCTGCCCTACTAGCTACAACAGTTACAGGCGTAGCTGGTGAACAATTCATTCGTTGTCGTAGAATAGTTGGAACTAGTTTAAAATGTAAAATATTATATTAAATAAACATTAAAAAATACTTTATTTTGTTATGCTCCATATAATATAATGATAGACCAGAGCTGGGAACTTTTAAATGGGTTATCCTTAATCGAGATCAGTTAATTGATCTGGAGATAAAGAAAAAGAGGATATCAAGCATTGATTTTGATATCCACCATTCATAAGTTCTCAGCTCTGGACATTTTTTCTAATTTTTCTTTTTCTTTGTACTTCAAATAGAATTTTTAATTTTGGTTACTTATAACAAAAAGTATGGTAGGGGTGTCAAATAAGCATTTTAAGTTTTTTTTTTGATCAATTATATAGCAACCAAAGAAAGTATTATGGTGCAAAAATACTATGCCTGAAAAAAACTTTGTCAAAGAAACCATGGAAAAACATGGCTCAGGGCTCTGAAAAATTTTGGAAGAGAACGAAAATAATGGGAAAAAATTAAGATGGAAAAAAAGACCTAAATGAGGATGTCGTCAACAAATGATTTTCAAAATATAGACATAGGCACAGCTCAAAGTAAATAAAACTTTATGTTCTTATTGTACATGTATTGTACATGTATTGTACATGTATTGTACATGTATTGTACATGTAGCTAAGTTTTCGCATTTACAAATAGGACCCTTAGAGGGCAATCGCCGAATTACAATATATACCCTTAAAAGCTTTGTCTGATTAAATTTGAACGGATATCAATGTTTTTAACTTTGAAAACAGATTATTTTCAATCGTCGTATCTCAACTACAGTAACATGCACATTAAAAGAAATTGTAAATATAATTTCAAACAGGAGTTCATTTTAAAAAATTGGCATGTCTGATTCACAGAGGAATATTTATAACCAATATTTACCGAAGAGGAAGATATCTTCGAT